GATCACAAAGTTCACACAAGCTGGTCTCATCTTCTTTCTCTCCCTCGCCAGCTCCTCTCTGTGATATAATACTGTAAAGTCGTGGCGTTACTAACGGCCCTGAGACAACTTGTGTTATGATCTGAATAAACAAAATTGAACTCCGGGTTCAGCTACGCCACACTTTTTCCATCCACCTCTTTGCATTCGTCCAGTGTGACTCACCAGATGTGGTAAAAAGTGTTGTAAAAATCCCCTTTTCACAGGAAACAAGAACTTCTGAGCACAAACCTACATGCTATAAAAATGTAAGTATAGCTGAGGAGTTGGATCAAGCAGTAAGGCAGCAGATTATCCATGAGAAATCCAAGTGGAACACACGCATGCAAAACCATTCCTCCATCACTATTCCAGGGGCACCATGCCTACATCCTGGGCTCAGCACTGCCCTGTGATTGGTTTAAACAAATACAAAACAAGCATGAATGTTTTTACTCCTGCAGCAGAATGATAACGAGGTGCTGACAGACCACCTCCAGGACTGACCCAACCTTGTGGAGAATTGTTTTCCCTCTTCGACAACTCTGTACTGAATAAAATGAAGCATAACCTTGAGAGGAAAAAGCCACAGGGAGTATCCCCTGGAGATGCTCCCTAATATTCACTACACATAATCACACCACCACGTCACTTTGCTTTTAGGCTGCACTGTTCCTTTAAGGTGCAACACCAGCCTTGGATGCCGTAAGCGTGCTGCTTGCCAAACATTTTGACTCGCTCTTGTGTCATTCTACTTCTTTTTTTCCCCACCAAGTGCATCAGAGAAAGTCCAGAGTGACAAAACTGCTGCTGGGGACAAAGATCTCAACTAAATCCTAACATTTCAAGTGAACCACTTCAGCGTTTCCTTAAACAGGTCATCAAGTCACAGCTCAGTAAACAGTAGTTCTGTATGAATAAAGGTGAAGATGACTGATTGCGATAAGGTTGCATTGCATGGTGTGCTGCAACCGAAATGAAGTGACAACAGTTCCTGCTTTGTTATGTAAACCAGCTCGTTTGACTTCCACGTTCATGCAGCTAAATGTCATTAATTTACTGCGCAAAAGCTTCTGAGAGGTTAACTGGTGCTAATTGTTTATCCTAAAATGAATAAAACGAATGCTGAACATGATAAATATGCAGCTTCTTTGTCCCCAGCATCCCAGTATTGATAACCTATAGCGGCCTGTGGATTATGCAGCGCTCTGCTACAATAGCACATCATGTATCTGGATGTAGCGCATGCTATTGATTTACCATAACATGTTGTGCTGCAAAGTGTTCTCTGGATTTATGGCACAGAAACATACATACTTAGATTTTTTATTCACTGAATTTAGTACCTCAACTATTATCATAAACAATCGACGAGACCAGTCGGATGGAATGAGCCCAGGCTGCTAACATTAGGCCTAATCGATGTAGTGAACAGTTTTATACGGTGTTTGTGTCCCTGTGGCGTTGTTTCTGTTGTCGTTGGTTTGATGAATTACATACAAACACAACAGGTTACTGTACGTAGATGATTCTACATTTGAAGGGCATTTAAAAAGCTTAACATTTACCAGACGAGCACAGGCAGGTTCATGTGCCCAAAGTCAAAATGAATTTTCTGCTTCACGCAGGACCTGCTCTCTTGAGAGGAAGTCCTGTTTAACCCACCACGTGCTACTATCTCTGCAGACTTGGTTGCTCTTAATACCATCTCACCGGATCTGGGTTGAAAGATCTGTGATAGCTGAAGGCTCTGTCACAGTCTATATTTGCTAAAACCTGAATATAGAGTCAATAGGAGGCTCAGAAGTCTTATTGTGACACAAAAATAAATAAAAATACAAGCACTGCCTACTCCAGCTTTAAGGATGTCTCTGATTTTCCTGCAGAATGAGTAGAAATGACTGTATATGAACTCTAAACAAACAAGCTGCCGCAAGACTGAAAAACTGAAAGCGACTCTCACCGAGACATTAAAACATGATTACACACGTACGGCAAATCAATCTCCATCAGTCACAAGAGTCTACTGGCTGACTTTTACAGAGTCAGCCAATTAGCAAATCTCCAAGGTCACATTCATTTTGATTACAGACCACGAAGCAGCAGCAGCAACAAAAACATTTACAGTGTGAGTGGTTGGCAGAGTGGGATTGTTGAAAACAGCATTTAATCTAAAGCCGTGAAAAACGATGTACGTTCAGTGTGAGAATGTGGCGAGCTTCTGAAAATCTCAAAGAGTTCAGAAATGGCTCAAGAGAGGCTCCATTTGCTGCACTGGTGCCCCAGTATTAAAAAGAGCTCATCTCTAAACCCAAAGATATTTAATTAGAGCCAACACCAGCGTCTCCAGAGTCAAATGGAAATGACACGCCCCGTCTTCTGAGGGCTATCACCGCATCTGTATAATTATTTAGGGACTCTCGACTGAGGAACTGAATTAATCTAATGGTGTCAGAACGTCATGTCACACTTGATAAGAATTAGCACCTCCTTAACAAGCGCGCCAAAAGACTGCAGCTCTGACAAGTAGGGAAACAGGCAGGGGACAAAACCAGCAAATGACGGAGGTGAGAGATGCTCCGATGTCGCTGAGAAGTAAACAGCAAAACAACTGCACACAAACACCGTGTTTCGCAAACACAACGTGTAGCCAAATTCACCAAAAACACACACGCTCACACACGTGCTAATGCATGGATACACACACCTAGATGTACACAAACAAACAAAGGGACACACTAATCCGCTTGTTGTCACCGAGGCATAATCCTGTAGTCGATGACTAACTTAATCTAAGTCACATGACTTGGGAAGGGATGCACCTCCCTTCGTATTGGCTGAAATAAGCTGCTGGCATCATTGTGCTGAAGCCAAGAGGTGAAAATTGTTTTTTAAAAATGATTCATGATTTCCCTGTAAAGTTATTTAAGAAGTCTGTTCCACACAACAGCAGTCTACCCAGTAAGAACGCTGCATAACATGATAACTGATGAGTTTGTGTCAACGACTTTGACGTCCAGCGTGCTTTTTATAGAAATCAAAGTGAATTGCTTTCTTGTCTTTTATACAGTTGTGACGTTAAAGTCAAATTTTGAACAGATATTCAGGGGTTTTCCAGGTTAGGAGTGTTTTGGTTCCTCTAAAGGGGCCAAGATGATAAGAAATTTTAAAGAAATGTGTTTTTTAAAAAAATCAGTTTTGTTAAGTGGGGCTTCTGCTACTGAAGCATGACAGACATTTTTGTTTATCAGATGCTCAGAAATAACAAGACAACGCACACCTTTGAAAGCCCGAACTGAGCCTGGGAAAAACCCGTAACACAATTTGTCATGTTGTCCAAAACTTCTGAGTTAATTGCAAATGTGATGTTGTTGTTAATAAGATTTTTTATAGTTTCAAAATAGCTAAAATAAACTGTTCGTTATCCTTTTACAGCATCATTGTACATTTGTCAAACTCCACAATTTCAAAAGGTAAAGACACGTTTAAATGTCAAGTTTCTTTAAAAGTACTTGAAATTTAATCTGCGATTTAAAACATTTCCTTTAATTTCTTTTATCTCACATATTTTACATTTTGTATAATTTGGCTCCACCTTAAAATTTGTTTATATTTATTTACATTCTTAGAAATGACTGTTTTGGGAAAAGGTACAAAAATCCCCCTGAATTATTTTCTACTTGATATAAACACAGGAAACCACCACAGATGGCACCTAAAGAGGTCAAAATATGAGTACGCGGTCGCGGCTTTCACCCATATTTCTGACCCCGTAACCATGGCAACGTGTTCATATGCACACGTCGCATCGAACACGTTGTTGTCCGACGAGATTAGCGGATCAATACCAGACTGATATCCAATACCATTGTGTGCAGCGGGAACAAACAAGGCATTATGGGATGCCATCCCCATGACGACGGGGGTTGACATGTATCCAGTGTCTCCTATTGATCCGAGTATGTTTTACAGTTTACGGTCAATGACGGTAATGGATAATGATCTCCAGACATACACACATGCATACAATAATAATTTGGACATTTGGCAACTGGATGTTGGCACTGAAAGTATTCTTATTGTGGATATTAGCTCACCAATAACCAACGAGACACACACCTGCCAGTAAGAGGGTAAAATATCAAGCCATCGATACCTTACAGAAAAACAGACTCCAGAGGCCAATAAGCAGCTATCACAAGTCCAGTAACAAAGGAAGCTGTTACTCCCTGAAACCTGAACACAGCTCATCATCACTGCAGCGTTATGACCACAAAACAAACCAGGAAGTGAGCTGACGTGAATCGTATGTGATCAGAAGCCTGATCTAGGTGTTGATAAAGTTACACCAGAGCAAAAATCCAACAGAGGCATGACAGAGGAAGGGAAAGGGTTCACAAGTTAGTGGTTCAAGCCCATTGAAATGTGTGCGATTGAGGCCTCAAACAAAGTCGAGTGTCCTTGAAACGGCGTCAAAACAACACTCACACCTTCGTACTTGGGTGAGATGTTTCAATTTTATATTAGCTCTTAAATAAGTGAGCAGCTCAAATGTTTAATCAGGCTCCCCAGCGTGGCCCTGATGGAAAATTCCATGACTTTCCCAAACTAAGTGAAGAGCACTTCTTGAGCCTAAAAATTTCATCACTCCCTGGTTTGCTAATGCCACACAGGTTTTAATATGTATAAAGTTCAGAAAAGCTCTCAAAAGGGGTACAGCGATTCAAAAATGTAGGAAAAAAAAGGAAAAACCTGCTGAATCCATCCTCTGTAGTACAAAATGGTCTGAACTGGGTTGTAAAATAAAACACTCTGATATGAGCCGACAGCGCCCAGAGATTTTATCCCGATTTGCTGATTTTTTTTTTGTGTGTGTTGAAAACAAGCCTGTCAAAGTTCAACGATATTCTAGCAGCTCTCTGCCCGCTGGGACGTTCCCACCTCCTCACACTGACACACATGTTCACGCCGTCTCCTCCTACCTTGGTCCTCATCTGTCCCGAGGTGGACACTTTGCGGATCAGCTTGTGCGACGTCTCTTCCTGTTCTCCATCACTGTCTGACGACTCTTCTCCAGCTTCACCGGCCTGGAGCAAAGAAATTACCAAAACTTTATGTGACAGAACTTCAGCAACTGAACATTTGCTCATTTTAAACTGCGGTGGATGAAATGGAAAAGCTCGGCCACTGATTTAGAAGAAACGCTTTATTAAATCTGTGGTTAATGTAATCAAGTGTCCCGTTTTATTTACTGCCTTAACACAATAGAATTACATAATATCACAGCTAACGAGCACTACTTGGGTAGAACAAACAGAAAACGGACAGAATATAGTACGTATATGTATTTAAATTGATAACTTAGAGTAGGAGGTTTAAGTAGGTCCTTCACCCCTTTCATAGATGCTTGTATATTCTTAGTTTTTATTTGTTGTTGTGTTTTTGTTACAAAAGCAGTTTTCTAGTCCACTCCTTTACCATGCGTATAAACTGCTAAACTGTAAAGAAAAGCACGTCTTATCCTTCCATACATATCAAGGACGTGACTTTTCTTCCTCTCTCATTAGTTCCTATTGTCCTGCTTCAGTCACTTATTGGAAATTCGGGATACGCAAAACTGTGACATGCAGTCGTTCATATAAATCATGTGGTAATAAGACACATAATGTGACGACAGCATTTTCTTGACCAACGTGCTTATTTGTACCTTTGCTGAGTGTCTCTGGTCGCTTGACCTTGTCCTAAAGGAGCAGACTTGTTCTCTCTGATGCCCGCTGTATGAGCAGATTTTTATTTACCAGTGTTAAGATGCTGTGAAATCACCACTGCTTAAGTTGAAGAGGCTTCACTCAGGTCCACATATTTAAGCCTCTGAATCCAAAACAGTTTTCTGTGTTTTTGCTTCGGTCACATTTTTACTCACTGTGGGGTCATTTTTTACTGAAATATGAAGTCCTGCACCTCTAAGGGAACAACAGCCATCGCTAGAAGAAGAGAGGACTCATACATGTCTATTGTGCAGAATGACAAAGTTATAAAATAGAATTTCTTTGATTATTTATTTTTACAAAAATGAAACAGGAATCAACATGTACAACATTATCCCAAGGAGCCATAACACCAATAAAGGAAAACAAAATGTTGACAAGACTCTTCCCTCTCCTCTGTCCACCACCTCTGCAGAGATGTTTCACCGCGCTGAACGCATCTTCCAACGACTTGCTCCTCTGTTTACCATTTCTGAACCGTGCCGCATTTATTTACATGACCGAGCACGTTTCATTCCGCTTGCAATGTCGTCACTCGTTTCCTATCTGCTCTGTAAACACAGCCTACAGTTCAGCCAAACAGTTAGTCACACCTGAGTCAAACATTTATTCTATTCGGTTGCACCAAGGAGCACTGAATCTTTGTGTTCACTGCATCTGGTGCCGACTGATTATTTAGGTGATTTTATACATAAAATAGAACAAAGGGATTTTGATTCAATATCACAATGTTAAGCTATGCTAAGCTTTCTGAATTCAAGGGCCGTTGAAAGGATGAAAGTCTGATTATTCTTTCAGGTTTAACAGTTTTTAACTCTGATAAGTTGCGTAGATCGTGTAATTGTGCCTTTCAGAGGGTTAAAGCTGAGTAACCTGAATCTTATAAAAGCCCCACAGGGTGAGTGGAGTTTTTATAATCTCTGCAGGAACAGACAGGTGTGGGAATGAAAAACCAGTCCTCCACAGACGTAGAAAACTCTCACAGAAAGATCATGTCATAATCAGGGTCACGTATGCTGCATATGTTGGATTCAAATCTCAAATTTAGGCAGAAACAAGTAAATCTCTGGACCTTTAAAACAGCTTGTTGCTTACTCTTAAAATGTATTGAAGCCACTTCTGTAAAGCTTAAAATGCATCGCTGCCTGTTTTTAGCGCAAAGAGCTGCGATGGTTCATTAACACTTACTGGCAACGTGACAGTTGTGGTCCCCGACTTATGTGAAAGTGAAACCTGAAGCCATTACTTGGACCCAGAGAGTAAGTCTGTGGCGTTTTATATGTGAGCAACGTGGCGCTTTCTCTTTTTGTAGCTTCACTTTCCAATTATACCTTTACAATCTTCTGCAGCTTTCAACATGAACGTAGATTGAACAGTACTCACAATATGAGTCCTCTCAGAGTCGGCCTGAGGCGACCCCAGGGACTCGCCGGGCCCCGCCACATACAGGACGTTTGGGTTCAGCTTGGACGCCATGACGGGTTTGCAGCCGAAGGCCAAGGAGAGGGAGCGAGGCAGACAAAAGTAAAGTGACAAGACACAGGTGAAAAGTTGCAAAAGGAGGGGAGCTCTGAATAAAAGAGGAGACGAGGAGGAGGGAAGGGTGGACTTTGGCGAGGTGAAAGCTTGGCTAAGTAGAGGAAAAGAGGAGAGGATGACGAATGGGACAGCAGGCTCCGGGACGCCACACTCGTCCTCTTGCCGATCTCTCTATCCAGGGCCAACTCTGGAAAAGATGGAGGGATGAATTATTGATCAGGAGAGAAAAGCTCACAGGAGGGGTTTTTTATTTTATTTTGCAGGCAGGGGGGGAGTTGGCGGCTGCTTTTCTGGAAGTTCGGAACACATAAACAAGTGACTTTCCGTCCCCCAACTCTAATTCATTTTTCTTCCTCCTCTGTGATCACACAGTCAGAGAGCTACAATGAGGGCCGCTTCTGTTTCTCAGTTCCTCTTTACTTCTTCCTGGCTTGTGCGAGATGACTTTGAGGTTTGCCCTGTTCTGTTTTTTTTTTTTTTTTAATTCAGCCTTTGAGATGCACTCTTTTGCCACTAACAGGAGAGCTGGTGCAGATGAGGATGAAGAGGAATTATGATTAAGGAGAATTAACAGTGCAGAGATGATGATCTGGCTCATTACAGGCCAAACACTCTGCATGCAGTAGCCAGCAGTACGGCTCACATGTTACTCATGTTTTACCTTCCAAAATAAAGTGAATACACACGTCGTTATGTATGTATGTGTGCGTCCGTGCGTGCAGGTGTGCGCGCACGTGTGTGTGCGTTTCCTTGATTACGGTGTGGACGCGTTTTTCAAACCCGGTGTGCGTCTCGCTCCGCTGCCGCCCCCGGTGACACCGAACTTGCACACATACATGTCCACTAAAGACAGGTTTCCAGCGTGAGAATGTGCGTTTCTGTGACTCACGGGGTTTGAAAATAATAATAATAACAATGATGATGATAATAAAAAAGAATAATAAAGAGAAGCGGACGCACAACAGGCTGCCGAGCGCCTCAGCCAGCTTCATCATTCATTCCGCTCACATCGCTGTTTACCGGAGCAGCTTTCGGCGGACAGAATAAATATCAATAATCAATTTAACTCCCGCACATTCGGCTCAGATGTCACAAAAACATTCAGCAGCGACCTGGACGGCCACCGCCGCCTCCTCTGCACACAGACACCCCCTCTGCGCTCTCGTGTGTCGATCAAACGTGCACGTTATTTACCTCGGCGACTTAATTTCTTCCCTCTTCTGCTCCGGCGGAGGTTAACCAGCGGCGGTGTCTGCCGCTCCTGTTGCCCGGCCTGGGTGGCTCGTCAGCCGGCGTTGGGTGCTCGCGGGCGGCCGGCGGTCAGCAGCAGCAGCGGCGGCGGCGGCGTGCGGGTCTCTCCGGTGGAGCTGGGCTTGCAGAGAGATACGCGGTCATACGCATAGCGCCGGAGCGGATCTGAATCAGGTAGGAAGAGGAGGGAGGCGGGTGAGGAGGAGGGAGGAGGGGGCGACGGAGAGAGAGAGAGAGAGAGAGAGAGAGAGAGAGGCAGAGAGAGAGATTTGAAAGCGGCCGTGTTGAGTCGCCTCGATTCGCTGTTCCGAGGTTAAACGGAGAGCAAATAACGCGCACACGCACGCATGCGCCTGCAAGAAAAAAAACAAAAAGGGAGCGCGACGGAGCCACAGGCCTGATGTACAAACACAACAAGACAGTAATTAACACACACACACACACACACACACACACACACACACACCATCACAGCGCACCTCTGGGTGACTTCAACACCTGGAGGAACAGATCTGGGAGCTGCAAGAATCCAACAAGTCTGGAGGAAATCTCAAACTAAAAGGTGCCAAACATTGATGTGGAAAGCAGAGAATTAAAATATATCGTCTCAAAGTAACACACTTGAAAGTTGTTTTCAATAAAAACAATCCTTTCCTGCTTTAAAGCTCCCATCTTGTACCTTTTTTCCAGCCATTTAATCAAAGTGTGTCTTTCACTTTTTCAGCTCAAACTAGTGCAAAGATGCTTTATTTCACCACAACCACTGGTTTTAGGGCTGCTTTGCTCTGGAAACCAATGAGCCCACTTCAGGAAGAAAACACTGTTCCAGTATCCACACCTCCATACTATGCAGGACGCCAAAAATAGATTTAGCATGTCTCCAAACATAGTGTGTCAAACGTACCAGGAACTTTGAGTAAAAAGAAAAAAATCTGCGATTCTGACAGGTTGAGCTGGATGACCACTGGTTATGGTTGCAATGCACCTGGGTCAAGTCCCTCCTTGCTGGTGAAGCTGGGAGGCTAACTAGTTGTGGACAGGAAGTAAGGGATGGCAGAGGTCTTTATGTTTACAGCTTTTATTTTACACCTCCAAGTTTATGACAACAATAAAAATGTATTTTTGCAACAGAAATCAGGTTGTATGGAGCAAATTCACAGATATTCTTCCCTCCAATCTCAGATATGCACACACTGCTGTGGCACTAAGAATACTTTACAGTGGGGGGAAAAAGAAAAGCCTGGATGAAAACATGGTTTCCAAGATGCACCGGACACGTCGTGGTTGTCGATTCTATTAAAGCAAACATCGAGCATCGTGGACGGACATAGCGCAGGCTTTCTGGAGAACACAGAACATCCGACTGTGTTTGGGCACCACAGCATGAAGCTACATATCAGAGCTCCTCCAGTGCAGCAGTGACTACTTCAGTTTAGGGATGTTAATAGTTTATCATTAACAGTTTAACTGATTAAATATATGTTCATGTAGTACCTGGTTGTGCCACCAGGTGGAGCCTCTTGCTGTTTGATAAGATGGTGTTGTTTAACACTGTAGCTACCTGAGGAGGTGACGACTCAGAAAGCAGAGAGCATCGTTGGGGTTTCGCCAGTGACGGGCACCATGACAAAGACTTCTGCTGTGGTTTATAGCTTCTGGCCAGTTCCCAGGATCCTCGGCTGAACTGAAGCACTCGTCAGTCGCAAACGTAACCCAGCGGCTAATACGGCAAATGTCATGCGCCCTAAGTAAATATTAGTCTATCAGCACGTCGAAACATTTCCACTCTATTTCAGTTGTCATGATGATTAATTGATTATTGACTGATGATGCTGCCAGAAGAATTTTCTAAAACCTGCCACCCTGCTTCATTTACAGCAGAATTTTGAAGGCGTGGATGATAGAGAATCTCCTCGCACAGTGTCTCCTCGTGACAAGCATTTTTTTAAGCATAATTTTTTTTTAGGCACATGTGCAGTCAGCATATTCGCTATGTGTACAATTCCTGCACTCACACATTTTAAGCTATGTCTCTTTGTTGAAGCATTATGTCTGCAAACTATAGTCATGCTGCTGCCCTGGTTGTAAGAAAATGTGTATCACCCTCTGTTTTGCAGCACTATACATACAGCACCTGCAAGTGGTTATTATTTTTAGCGTGTCACACAGACACAAGAGGCTGCCTTTGTTTGAATCAATACATTCCTTGACAATAGGATTAACAGGCTTTGAATGGGGTCCATAGTTGGCAAAACAAGCTCACCTCCAGGCCCATTTAACAGCAGTTCTGGAGCTTTCAATCCTATTACATGATTTCCAGTTGTCATGGAAGTTGTGGATGTTAAATTCCCATTTTTTCTTTACTTACTTCTTGCTCGGCTTTAAAAACATATTTTTCCATCGGAGCCTTTAAGTCCAGGACACGGCATGAGAAATATCTGGGGTTATGAAGGATAAGCAAGAAAAGCTTTCATTACTCGTCTCAGATGTTTTCAAGCCTCCACCATGAGGAAAAAGAAAAACATACGCTTCAGTCTGCACTAAATCTGTAACCTACGACAAAGGGTTGCAAAGAGATTTGGTTAAAGGGATCACAAGGTAAAAACCAACTCCACCGGCAAGTAGGTGCATTCAAATCTGCTGGCTTTTCCTGAGCTCATTGTTTTATTTTGCATTTGTGGGATGCAAAGTGCAGCTGGCTCGAACCTAGTGGCGCAACATTCCTCTTGCAGGCAGAAACTAATCTATTTTGCTGAAGATGCTGTCCAGACAAGCTCTCAGAACTTGCCTTGCACTTCATCCCTCTTAGATCTTTATCTGACGACTGATTTGTGCTCAAATTTCAACTCAAATCAATAGAGACGCTGTGAAGGAGAGCCCACACCTAATAGAGCCGGCGCTCCATTAGAAAGAGAGAGGGAGACATCCTCATTAATAAGGCAGAGGGTGAGAGCGAGCCACATGTGCACACCGACACAGATACAAGGGCACAATGAGGCAGACGCACACACACTGATACACATGCACTAATGTGGCACACATACTGGCACCACTCAGTGCAATCGTAATTTGTTTACAGTTGATTAAATATTCATGCTGAATTAGCTGTGAGCCTGCCAACAGTCACTTCATTTACACCGTGAGTGTATGTGTGTGTGTGCGTGCCCCCCTCAGCCTCCCTCCTCCACCTGTATTTACGCGTTTGTAACTGCCCATAAGTGGCGTGGAAAAGACCGACACATGCACGGTAACAGGCGTGCACTCGCACCTGCTGAATTCCCCCGACGATCAGGTGATGGTGTTATTGTATTCATCTCTTTCCTCTGGTTGCCCTTGACAACGCGGAGAAGGAAGGGCGAAAGGATGGAGATGAGGCAGGAGGAGAAATCGCCAAGGGCAAAAAATATACATATCATTATCGACGAATCTGCTGATTATTTTCTTGTTAAATTGTGCATGAAACGCCAGAAAATTAAGAAAGATGCACATTCCAGTTCACAGAATCCAAGGTGACATCTTCAGGTGTCTTGTTTTTTTGCAGATATAAGCACTGAAAGCATTTTTCTTTGGAAAGCGTCTGTAAAGATGAGCTAAAATAGTGAGTTATTAAAATTATTTCTGATTAATTCCCAGTCAGCCAGCATCTAATGGTGCTTTCTGGCTTGTTTGTTATTGTTTTCCCTTCATTAGATTGTCCTAATTGCAGGTACAAAATGAAATAAACCAACTGTTTGTTTTCGTTCCATCTCATTTGCACACAGAACGAAAGAAATCACGTATCTCCCAGATTCTAGAAGGTAGGAAACAGAGAAGGCAGTGGAGGAGATGCAGTGGAAAAGCTCTCGCTCTCCCTCTCTCTGCGCCACACACGGTCGTGCTCGCTCGCTCGCAATCCTCCTTCATGCTCTCCCGGGGAGATGCTTACAGGTTGTCAAATTTTCTCTCTTCCGCATCCAAGCGGCGCACAGCGTGAGCAGAAATCAGAACTGAGCAATAAAAGAAACCGATAACAGAGAGATAATTAACAGCTCTGTGTTGTGTATCAAACTCAGGGCAGATTACTGCACCGTTATTATCATCATGCAAATACGAGCGTACCGTCGCACATCCCGCGCTAATTTCTCACAAGTAGTTATCCTTGTACTCTATATTTATCTCCTTAAAGGTCCACTGTGTAGGACTTGAAGCAGCCACTGAATATATTAACCATAATTATGTTTTCATTGGTGTATAATCACCTGGTTTTCGCTACCTTAGAATGAAGTGTTATTAACTAGAGGAGCAGATCCTCCATGTTGCACCTCTATATGTCTGCAGCAGCACAGAAGCAGAGTCGCTAACGTCTTCCAATGGAAAGTGGCTGAAGCCTGCTCAGAACAACGGTAGATGTTGTTAAATGATGTCACAGTATCACTGCATTGGATTTGAGTTCTCCTGTTGTCAGCACTAGGGCAGGGTGACATGGCTAAAAATATGTATCACGATAACGATGTAACTGACGATACAATTCGACACTTGACGGTTAGCGGTGGGTGGCGGGGGGAATATTCGTATCTCAAAATTGCTAAGCGGACATCACCACAACGACCGAATAGTCTGATATCCGGGTTCAGCCCTACTGTGCCGGTTGATACACTGCATTCGTCCTCCTCCTCGGTCGCCGCCATGCTTCTCGCTCCATGTGCATTAGATTGGACCAAAACAACGGCACTGCACATTTCACTCAAATTTTATCGCGATATTTCAATCTCATATCATCCCCTAACATTACACCGGCATTGCCGTGCACGGTTATGATATGGTCCAGCCTTAATCAGCACTATACACCTGTTTGCTTCTCTCCTACTCCCTGTGCTCATGTACACTGTGTTTAAATAAAACTGAGTTCACAAATAAAGCTGCTCTCATTTCCACACTTTCCTGTTTCTGTTGCCAGACAACTGGACGAGTACAAATCGTAAAATAACCCATAAGGACTACATGTTCACCTGGATTCATTTTACAGCCATTTCTAAGCTGCTGCTGCTGCTCTGTATCGCTAACATACAGACTTTATAGCCATGTCCTGCTGACAAACATATCATCCACATAAGTTAGAGAGAATTTGGCGATATATATATACACGACTCAGAGATAAAGTTTAGTTCGATCACTCAGTTTTATGTCCTCAGGCCTGCCTGCGGCTGTCCTC